ATTCAAGAAGATTTTTTTTTTTTGGGGGGGGCGCCCCCCCCCCCGCCCGCCCCGCCACCACCAGCGAGGTGCTGCTCTTCGACGGCTGCCTCGCGCTGGCAACCTGCTTTCAGCAGGAGGCCCTGGTGCGGCTGGCGGTGGCCACTGCGAACGCGGCCTCCTGCGTCGAATTCGCGATCCAGTCCTGGCCGAGCAACTCGCCCGATCGTCTGGGCGTTGCCGTCCTGCACGGTTGCGGGTCCGAGATCAGTCTCCTCCTCACCCCCGTGCCAGACCAGGGCAACTTCCTCCTGACGGCGGCGTGGCGGGCGGGCATGGGCGCCACGATGGCGGACCTCTCTCCGGAGGACCTGGCAGTCCTGACAATGCAGGAGGTCAACGACAATTCTCTCTACAGCTCCCAGAGGAACAACTCCGCCATGACCTTCTTCGCCCCCACCCACGAGCACGTCATTTTCGAGGAGGTCCACTCTGGCCGCTCGTTCGTGGTCCTGGAGGACCTTTGCCGCGAGGGCACGCCGAGGCACGCATGCGGCCTGCGGTGCAGCAACAAGGAGCTCGGGCTCTTCGACCCCGCGGCCCCATCGCTCGTGCAGGTGATGCAGGCGGAGCACTACCTGGAGAAGGCCCAGGGCCGCAACCTGGTGTACTACATCCTGGAGCGCAGGGCTGCCCCTGGGGCGCCCACCCCGCGCGCGCCCCCCTGAGGTCGGAACGGAGACAGCGAGGCCGTTTACTTTCTCCCCCATTGCTATTTCTCACACTCCACCTGCCCACGAGCTCTCTCTCTCCGCTCCACCGCTGCACACCCGCCACTCCGAAGTGTGCATGCGTTTTGTGCGTGTGTTTGTTTCCAGTCATCGGCCATGTACACTACCGCCGCCACCGACGCGCCGAGCTTCGCGGTAATTCGCGGGCCCTGGAGAAACACGATCGCATCTTTGCTTCAGCCAGGCGGGCAGCGCGCCGCGCTGCCAGCAGCGGTCCCTTTTGCCATGATTGCAGACATAATCGAACTCAGCGAGGCCACCCTGAAAACCAAGAAAGATTACATCATTATTATCAATCAGGGATCGTCGCTCAGACTCCCCGCCATCGCATGGGCGCCCCTTGTCGTAGCTGCGCCTGTTGGCCCCGTGTCTGATCGGTGCGCGCTCAGAGACCGACCCGATATCGAGTCGCCGCCGCAGGCGTTCAGGCTCGAGATCGTCGGGCCGCGGCCCGTCGCCGCGCGCACTCGCTGACCCCCGGCTCTGCGCCGTTGTGCGGCCTGAACTACAGATGGCGGCCCCTTCGGTGGAGGATGAGGCCTGGCGCAGGTTCACAAAGGGAGAGGCGGTGGCCGCTCGCCCGAACTACAGCGGCGAGGACCTCAAGGACAAGTTTACCAACAGCACCAAGACGGTCGAGGAAAACAAAGTGGACAAGGGGCCTGCTGGAGGGGCCAGCGCGGACGACGAGGTGAGCAAGACGTTGCAGAAACGCTTGGAGCCGAAGATCAACTCTGACGCCTCGGTCCCCTGAGGCCGCGCCCTCTCTCGGAGTAGTTGCGCGCGTGATACCAGCAATGTTGTGTCCGCTCCTGCACCCGCCTCCTCCCGCTCACCTACCCCTGGCCGTCCGTGCGTGTGCTTGCAATCATGCGCGAGCTGTCGGGCCCGCTAGAAAAAAAGATTCTGCCCCATTATGCCGCGATCGCCCCTGGACCTTTCCAGCAATCGACTGCCGTGTGCGCAGCGGCGTCTACACGCCCCCGTGTAGCCCATGTCTGCCACTCCAGTTGCCGTTTCGGTTCCAGTTCCTGCCCCCCGCGCACTCAGGCTGGCGCGCGTCCACTTCCTGAGCGATGGTTCGCGGCGCTGCAGTGGGCACACACGGCACTCCGAAGCGCAAGCCCGCCGCTGCCACGATCCGCCGGCCCGCCGCAGCGACTCCGAACATTCCCGTCAAGACCAAGTTCCGTAAGTTCGCCCAGAAGAAGCGGAACAAGCGGAGTTCGCAGGAGCGGTCGAACAAGAGTTTGGCGATGGCCCGCAAGGCGAGGGCAGCGTGGAAGCGCAAGAGGGCGGCCCTGGAGCGCACCGGCGTTTTCTACACTCCGACCGAGCAGAAAAGGCGCTGATACGGTGCGTCGCGGGCGGGTTGCCAAGGCGGAGCGGTGGACGTTTGACGAGATACTTGCCATGGACGACACGGCCGCTTACTGGATGCTCGTGAAGCTCGGTTTCCTCCAGGACCTCCACAACACGGAATGCGCAGGCTGCCAGTGGCCCTTGGGTAAGACGTACTTCCGCGGCAAACGTCACCCTGGGGTGCAGTGCTACAGGCGCGGTTGCCGCGAGTTTAACAGGGCAACATCTGGGACTTGGGCAGACCACGAGATCCCAATGAAGAAGCTCGCCGCCTTGGCGTGGCTCGCAAGCGGGCAATTGACATGCCAGATACATCAGGATGACGCAGCGCAGCTGACAGGAGTGGCGAACAGGACTTGCAAGGAGGTCTTGGACGCCTTGCGCGACGTCATTGCTATCGGCAGTAAGATGGAGCAGCGCGATGTCGTGTTCTCTGGGCAATGCGAGGTCTCCTCCCACATAACTTTTCCCCTTCATCCGAACCACCCCCCTTCCTCCTACTCCTCCGAGGTGGATGCTACGACTCTGCGCACCGTGACGCTCAACAATGGCCGGCTGCTCCATGTCCGCTACTTCGGCATGTCCCGCCGCGGAGATCGAAAGTCCACGGTGATCTACCCGCTCCCTTTGTACACCACGCCGAAAGGGGGGAAGACCAGGCCCGAGAGCCTCGCCGAGACGGAGGACCTCATGATCAACCGCACTGCCGGCGACAACGCGGTCATCTGGCACTCTGATGGTGCCCGGTGTTACAGGAGGCTGCCGCTCAACACCAGGGTCAAGCATTGCCGTAAGCAGTGGGTGAAGATCTGCAAGTTGGCCCTCTCCGATGGCAGCGTGCTCGCGTGCTACGGGGGCACGGAGCTCCAGGATGGTTTGTGGAAGCACCTCAAGCACAGGATCCCGACGCAGCTCCGCACGATCGACAGCCTCTCCACTGGGGCGTTGGAGAAATGGGCTCACGAGTGGGCTTGGAGGTACCGCCGCGGGGACCAGGCGTGCCTCTTCAGTGAGCTCGGGCTGACGGTAATGCACGCCAGGATGAACGGGGATGTGTGGTGAACCTGGTGTACTACATGCTGGAGCGTCGGGCTGCCCCTGGGGCGCCCCCCCCGAGCGCGCCACTCTGAGGTCGGAACAGAGTCAGCGAGGCCGTTTAGTTTCCCCCCCATTGCTCCTTCTCACACTCCACCTGCCCACGAGCTCTCACTCACCGCCCCGCCGCTGCACACCCGCCACCCCGAAGTGTGTGTTTGTTTCCAGTCATCGGCGATGTACACTACCACCGTCACCGACGCGCCGTGCTTCGTGGTAATTCGCGGGCCCTGGAGAAAAAACAATTAGCGCATCTTTGCTTCAGCCAGGCGGCCACCGCGCCGCGCTGCCAGCAGCGGTCTCTCTTGCCATGTTTGCAGGCACAATCGAACTCAGCGAGGCCACCTTGAAAATCAAGAAAGATTACATCGTCATTATCAATCAGGGATGGTCGCTCAGCCCCCCCGCCATCGCAAGGGCGCCCTTGTCGTACCTGCGTCTGTTGCCCCCATGTAAGATCGGTGGGCAACGGATTCCCCTGTCGTTCCAAAAAAACGCCCAAGAGCACTACCCAGAGGAATCCGTCGTAGGTAGTAGTAGTAGTAGTAGTAGTAGTAGTCGTCGTCGTAGTGGTAGTAGTAGTAGTAGTAGTAGTAGTAGTAGTAGTAGTAGTAGTAGTAGTAGTATTAGTAGTAGTAGTAGTAGTAGTAGTAGTGGTATTTCCAGTATGTAGTGCAACGAGTATGAGTAGTAGTAGAAGTACAAGTAGTAGTAATCGTAGGGGAAAGGGTAGTAGTAGATGTCTTTTAGCAGCTGTTCGGAGGCCTCTTGGGGCGTCTTCGGCGCCTCTTGGCGCATCTTGGGGACCTCTTGGGGGTATCTGTGGGACCTCCTGGAGGAGTCGTGGTGCCTCCTGGGGATCTCTTGTGGCCCATCTGGAGACCTCTTGGGGCCATATGGTGGACCTCTGGGGGCCCTCTTGGGGGGCTTGTATGAGCGCTGCCCCTCTTCCTGGTGTGACTCGTTCGGGCTCCTCGTGGTGTGAGTCGTTCGAGGCGCGCGTCGTGGTGTGAGTCGCTCGGCCTCCTCGTGGTGTGAATGGGTCGGGCGCCTCGTCCTGGTAGGAGTCGTTCGGGGTCCTCCTTCTGGCGTGAGTCGTTCGGGTCCTTCGTGGTATGAGTCGTTCGAGCCCCTCGTCCTGGTGTGAGTCGTTCGGGCTCCTCGGGGGGCCTCTTGGCGGCCTCTTGGAGCCTCGTGGGGCCTCTTGGAGGCCTCTTGGGGGCCTCTTGAAGGCCTCTTGGGGGCCTCCTGGGGCCTCTGGGGGCCTCTTGGGGGCCTCTTGGGGGCCTCTTGGGGGCCTCTGGGGGCCTCTTGGGGGCCTCTTGGGGACCTCTTGGAGGCCTCTTGGGAGGCTCCTGGGGGCCTCTTGGGGCCATCTTGGGGCCTCTTGCGACCTCCTCAGAAGCGCCACGAAGCGCTGCCCCCTGAGAAAGACAAAATGAGCCCAAAACCATCGTAAAATCAATGATTTTGCTATGAAGGAAGATGAGCGCGGCCCCCTCGGGAGGCCAAAAATGGGGCCAAAACCCTAGTAAAAACAATGATTTTGGCTTCACAGAAGAGGAGGGGGCTACAAGAGCGCCCCCCCGTCGGGGCCAGAATCCTCGTGAGGGGCGTCGTTTTTTGGCCCTCCCAGGCGTCGAAAAAGACCCCCCTGACCACCCGCGGAACTCCCTGTCCAGGCCCAGGGGGAGGGGGTAGGGGGAGGGGTAAACCCCTCCCCGAAGGGGAAGAAGGGGGGTTGGGGGGTTGAGAACAGAGAGAGCTCTCTAAACCACTCACGCCCAAAGGGCTGGTGGGACTTCCCCACCCCGTCCTGGCCTCAGCCCCCCCTCGCCCCGCTGGCCTGGCCCTGGACCCAGCCTCTCCCCCACCCGGCCCTGGCCCCAGTCCCCCTCACCCTGGACCCTTTATTTTCGCTCGTCGTCGTCCCTGGTCCGGTCCTGGCCGTGGACCCAACCTCCACCCCTGGTCCTGGCCCCAGCTCCCCTCGCCCCGCTGGCCCAGGGCCTGGACCCAGCCTCCCCCCCGCCGGCCCTGTCCCCAGTCACCCTCGCCCTGGACCCTTTATTTTCGTTTGTCGTTGTCCCTCTGGTCCCGGCCTTGGACCCAACCTCCCCACCTGGCCCTGGCCCCAGCCCCCGTCGCCCCGCTGACCCTGGCCCTGGACCCAGCCTCCCCCCCGGCCCTGGCCCCAGCCCACCTCGCCCTGGCAACCCTTTATTTTCGCTCGTCGTCGTCCCTGGCAGCTGGTCCGGTCCTGGCCCTGGACCCAACTCCCCCCCTTGCTGGACCCTTTGTTTTCGTTCGTCGTCCCTGGTCCGACTCTGGCCCTGGACCCAACCTCCCCACCTGGTCCTGGCCCCGTGGAGCCCCCCTCAACCTCCCCCCCTGGTCCTGGCCCCAGGCCCAGGGCCTGGACCCAGCCTCCCCCCCGCCGGCCCTGTCCCTAGTTCACCTCGCCCTGGACCCTTTATTTTCGTTTGTCGTCGTCCCTCTGGTCCTGGCCCTGGACCCTGCCTCCTCCCCTGGCCCTGGCCCCCCCGCCCCCCTTGCCCCGCTGGCCCTGGCCCTGGACCCAGCCTCCCCCCTCCCGGCCCTGGCCCCAGTCCCCCTCGCCCTGGACCCTTTGTTATCTTGCGCAGCTTTCTAGAGCTCAGACCTCTTTATTTTCGCTCGTCGTCGTCGTTCGTTCGTCGTTCGTCCTCCCCCCGGCGGCCACAAAAATAAACTCCTGGAGGAAGGAGGCGAAAGCCTCCTGTCTCTCGCGGCTCCTTAGTGCAAGAGCCAGGGCACTCGTGCCACTTGTTTGTGTGTCCTGGGGCCCCTTCAATCCTGGCCTGAGCGCCTCGCTCCGCGGTCAAGACGCCGGCACGAGGACACCTTCGGCTGTCGGGAGGGAAAATATGGGGGATATTTTTATTTGTGTGTATTTGTTTGTGTGTCCTGGGGCCCCTTCACTCCTGGCCTGTGCGCCTCGCTCCTCGCTTGCGGTCCAGACGCCGGCACGAGGACCGCGCTTCGGCCGTCGGGAGGGGGCTCGGGCTTTCTCGGGCCGCTCCTGGCACTTCCGCCGTGGAGCTCGCTCCGCCTGCGGCCCTGGCCTGCCCCGACCAGAAAAAATCCCCCTCCGTTCCTTACACAGGGCGTTCCTGCTGGTAGCACGATGACGCTATTTTCCTCCTCCTCCTCCTCCTCCTCCTCCTCCTCCTCCTCCTCCCCTCCCTCTTCCTTCTTCCCCCCTTCCTCGCTCCCCCCTTGCTCCTGCTCCCTCCTCTGTTTCGTACTCGCTCCTCTCTCCTCCCCTCCGGGCCCCCTCCTGAAGATCGCCGAGGCGGGACAGTGGGAGCGGGCGATCAGCATCGCGCCCGCGGTGAGCCACCAGTTCTGGAGGCAGCTGACCAGCGAGTACCCCCGGGCCCCCCCGCCTCCATCCCAGGAGAGGAGGCGGGGAAGGAGGAGGAGGAGGAGGAGGAGGAGGAGGAGGAGGAGCAGGAAGAGCCAGATGAGGAGGCGAAAGAGGAGGACCATCGCATGCTAATGAGGGAGGCTAGGGTTAGGCCGACCCGACCCGAACCGAAACCTGGAGGTTACATCCGCTCTCCTCTTACGCTGGCTGTCTTCCCTACGTCGCCCCTCCTTCCTTGAGGAGCTGGGCTGCAGGGATTGGCAGGGAAAGTCGGGGACGGGCCTTCATGCTGCTCTTGGGATGACGGCCGCTTGCCAGGAGGGACCACGCACCTTGGGAGAACCTGCTTTGGAAGCGCTCCTTACATTCACCTTTGAGTCATTTGAGGTTGCTTTCGCTGTAGCGGCCGCACCTCTTACAAACGACGAGGAAGGACTCAACATCAAGGTCGTCGCAAATCATTAATTGGTGCTTCTGGGGGTCCCTAATTATCATAGACAGCATGACTGAATTGCCTGGGCATGCTTCTCGCAAGCGGGTCTTGCGAGTGCTGTCCGTACGGGCGCGGGTGTGACAGGCGAGGCACAGCCAATGATTATTAAGCCATGCCCACTGATGTCTCGCCACGCCCTGGGGGTTACGGCACGCTCGAGCACGCCGAGGAAGACCACCAGGGGGCGGGGGTGGCGCAGTCCACTGGTTGACTGCTCCCGCTGCCCCAACTGGGGGATTGAAACTCTGGGCGGGCTTCTCATAGGCCTTCTTGCCCGACTTCGGAGCGAGCGGGGCCCACGAGGAGAGAGCCTAAGCATCGTGCTTCACCAACCTCTGAACTCGGCTACGACATTCTTTATAATGCTCGATTTCTCCCTGGGACGGGGCGGGGATTCTGGCGGCCGCTTGTTTGGCCACCTTGTCCGCCCAGTCATTGCCTTTGGCAACAGACCAATCCCTCGAGCCGGCCACCAGGGAAGACAGGTCCTGGTGGGCCTTGACTTTCCCGATCTCGAGGGGCGCAAAACAGCTCTGGGTCCTGGCCAGAACTGAAACTCCTGAGTACGTTTCTTTACGTGAGACTTCGGCGCTCTGATGCACCGAGAGGATACCCTTGAAATCCGTCCACGCTTTGGTGACTCTGGGGCAGGTCGTTGCAACTAAAACCCCCAGGTGTTCGGCAGCGGGCGACGTGGGGGGAAGGCTGGCCCCCACAGGGCCCGAGAGACTGGCAACCAGGTCGCCGTCCTCGTCGATTTTGACCACGGACCAGGCGGGGGCGTCAAACACCGCGGGCCCAGGTTTCAAAACACTGCCATCGTGGAAATCTTCCCCTTGCATGGCCACCTCCTTGGGCAGCCCATCTCTAGACCAATATGCAGCCTGATCAAGTCCTAGACCGGGGGGCCTCAGAGCAATGGGTTCAGGTCGAAGTTGGAATCCCAACACATATGGAAATCCTGTCCTCGGGTCCTTGAACTCCTCGATATCAGCTTCACTTAACGTTTCCTCTCTCAGGTTGCGGGTCTGCGGGCACTCAAGGAGCCTGTGGGAATGGAGTCCA